AATAGACTTCTTTCAACATAATGATGTCACATTGTTACCATGGCCACCAAGATCTTCCGACTTATCCCCAATTGAGCACGTGTGGTATATGATGGGTAGGAGATTGCTCAATTTGCAACGTCCTCCTCAGACTCTAGAAGCACTTCGAGAGGAGTTGGTGGTTGCCTGGAATGAGATAGCACAGGAGGACATTGACCACCTGATCAGAAGCATGCCTAGGCGCGTTGGAGAATGCGTAGCACATCAGGGTGCATCCACACATTATTAAAGGTCAAAGGGCTTTAAAGCAGTGCAATCATTTTGAAATTTTTATCAGTATCATTATACAAAATTTTATTAAAATAAAACCATTTAAACTGGGTGTTCGGATTTATATGTCACTTAGTATATTCCTCCCGAAACATACCAAAAAGTGATGAAAAATGTGATTAAGAAAGAGGTTTGCGTAGGTTCTAGAGGCAGACATTTGTCAGATATTATTTTTCATATAAGATTGAAAGAAATGGACGTTTTTTAGTTTATTCCACAAATATTCAAGCTACGAGTTACATATCGGCCACCCTGTATAACAAATTATCTTGGCCGCGATCTTTCTACTGCTTTCCAAGCTACTCGTCAATATTATCGTCCCCAAGTCTCTCCTTGCTATCACAAATACTCACCAAATTTTCCGACGTCTTGATTTCTTTGCTCGCCTCGATGAATCGTGTGACCATTTGCTTGAAAGCGCATCCTACGACCTGCCCCTCAATTCCCCTAGACCTGCCCACTCCTGCGCCTGCGTCATACCGACGATGATTATCACCACCCCCTGACACCGCTTCCGGAGAACGGCTGATGCACCTCGTCTTCTGATTCTGACTTTGAGTTTGTGTCTGATTCTGATCTATTACATCTCGCATGTTATTTGTTTTCGACTACCGATTTAACGGTCGCAATCTTCAGAGCAGATATTTAGCTAACGGAACGAATTTTCACGGCACATTGGTATTCGATAGATGCGGAATTGATCGCATTTTTTTTATTATATGATCCGTGTTTTACGCTAAGCAATACAATATATAATATAATGTTAAATTGCAAACCTTCCAATATCTGTTCGGGATACATTCCATTCTTTATTTTTTAGATGACTATCATTGTATTGTAAAATATATTTTGTTTGATACTTATTAAATTAGTTCTTCTAACATGTCTTTAATTCTTGCGTATCTACTACATCTTAATATACATCTAAGAGCCTGATTTTGTTTTCTCTGTAGTCAATCTATATCACCTTTCTGAAATATACAGGGTTGGGGTTTTCCTTTACACGACGTGTAGATCTTGAAAACATAAGCAATTTTTCTTAGTACCATATACAACAATGTCTTAAGGGAACCAAGATAAAGGGCTCTGCAACATCAAAAATATCTTAATACCGTCCTGTAGCCGCGACCCGGGACATCACCGTTTGGTACAATGTCTCAACCCGACGGCAGAACTGGATCGGGGTCACTGTGTCAGGTCAGTATGCAACCTTCAACCGACGGTTACGGTCACGCGTGTAGAGGTAATCGCGTAAACGAGAATCCCTCAACAAGCACTAGAGGACGTGGCTAGAGAAGTATCAAAAACTAAAGTGTGGCAAATGCTGCGTGAAGAGGGGCTGTATCCGTTTCACGTCCAACGCGTACAAACCCTTCAACCTGACGATTTTCCAGCAAGAGTGCGGTTTTGTGAGTGGTTGTTGCATCAACATGACAATAATCCGGACTTTTTGAAGTGCATATTGGTGACAGACGAATCTACGTTCACGCGTAATGGGGTGAATAACTTTCGCAACACTCATGTTTGATCAGTAGAAAATCCGCACGCTGTCAGTCGGGCACATTTTCAACAAACAGTTTCGGTGAATGTTTGGGCTGGCATGGTGAACGGTATGCTCATTGGACCATTTATTCTCACAAATCGATTGGACGGGATGCAATACCTAAACTTTTTACGCAACATTTTGCCTTCCTTGTTAGAAGATGTGCCATTAAGTGTAAGACAATCAATGTGGTTTCTGCGTCTGCTCGGTAGCGCATCAGCTGATTTCATTTTCTGTTGGAGCGGTATGATTTCGGGCAGAGACGTACTTAGCCCTTCTTGTCAACTGGAGAGTGACTACTTTTTTCTTTTTTTTTTATTTGGTCGCCCTCGTTTCACTACACATTACCTTTGTTATTTCAAGGGTAGTTGTTTCTGAAAAGGAAAACCCCAACTTTGCGGACACCCTGTATAAGTTCATGAACTAAGGTTCTTTGTTACCCTACACATTAAATTAACTTTTTTAGAAACTTGATGATAGACGAAAAAACTGAAACTGTCAGCTTAAATCAACTTGAAATCAACCGCTTCATGTTGATCTTTTGTTAGAGTATGTTGCTTGATCGAAGCTCATAACCATTTTTATCAGTTTTTAGGGGAATTAGCAACAAAATTTAAGGCACATATCATCTGATTCTAAGTAAGCAATTTGTATTTTTTATTAGGAAATGATGTTCGTTACCATCTGCTACCTGTTATTCACTCGGTTAGCTATTTATTATATTTGAACAGAGAAGATTGCGAAGACGATACAATGAATGAATGATGTATACCTACAACGTTCGGATGCGGAAGGAATTTCCATCGGCTATAGATAGATGGTTCTGCTTGTGATCATAGGCTTGGAAACAACTTGTTGCATCTACATGTTCTAACAGTCGGAAGATGGAAAAGAAGACGTAATTTTCTAAGGAGCACAGCACAATGACTCGAGCGGTGGTGTCAGAACGTGATAAAAAGCATTCTTGCAAAGGTTTGCTGAAAAGTAGCCTTTCCATAAACTTGAAAGGTTCCATCGTTCGTGGAATGACAAGCTGTCACTTTTTTTATGCAGGGTGTCAGCTTCTCGATTGCCAGTATCGCGTATAGGTGACAGACCTTTGACTGTGCTCTTATCACAGTGGAGTGTTATTTTTCTATCATTCTATTATTGTTGCATAGCTAATAAGCCAGACTACGTGGATAGTTTATCGGTTACCAAAGAACAGACGGCCGACGCATAAGCTGATAAAATCGTGTTAACAAAAGCTTAGAACACGATTGGGTAACTGCAACATTATAGGTGACACCCTCTTGAAAGTTTCTGTTAGAGAAAGGTTTCCCAATATAAAGTATCAATGAAATGAAATGGATAACGGGCGTGTATATTGGTCAAGAGTAGAAACTTGTGAGACAGTTGTGCTTTCTTTAATGTTCATGCATTTTCAAGGAATGTGATGCTATCGCCCATAATCGAGAAATCTTGGTATTTTTGCTACTTTTCGACAACCTTGTTATATGAGTTACTATCTTTGTACATCAGAAAAGCTTCTCAAGAAGGAATGAGTATTGGTAATAGTTTTATATTCCAAACTATTTCTACGGGAGCCTTAAGTAGGCTTCATAGTGAGATTTCTAGTTTGCCAACTGCTTTGATTATGTTGAAATGTTCGCGAACGTTAAAATGCACGGTTAATAAAGCATCCACAAACCGGCGCGAAATAATCGCGGCGAAGTCTTCGCAACGAAATTCAGAGCGAAATTCGCAATCTGTTTCGCCTGTTTATTCATACCAAAGCGTCTTATTCGCTCCGCGAACGTGAAGGTTTCGACAGGTTGCGTACATTTTATTTTTGCCTTTTGCAATGAGCTCGTCTTCAGAAGAAGAGGAGGCACTTCTATTTCTTGCTTTAGAAGAGGAACAAAATGCACGGTAAGTTATGTTTATTTAACGCCATTTGATAGTTGGGTATGTATTAAGTTTAACGAAGTACATAAAACAAATATTTTCAATTTTGTTTAGGAAACGAAGGAAGTGGGTACATGATATATGAACTTGGAACGAAATAAATTTGGGGAATACCATACCTTGATGCCACAACTTCGGCTGGCTGAACAGCGCTTTTACGTATATTTTAGAATGACTCCAGAGTGTTTCGATGAAATATTGAACTTGGTGAAAGATGAAATACGAAAATCTGCCACAAATTATCGTGAAGCTATTTCCCCAGAAGAACGACTTGCTATTACACTCAGGTAAAAAAATTATATGTATTAAAATTAGTAGGCTTATCGAATACGAAAACTTCAGGGATCGTGAAATAAATATTTTATTGTAATAATTGGACTACATGTTGCCACTAGGATTAAATGTTGCTAAATAATTCGAGGCAGAATTTGCCTCCTCTGTTGGGTATATTATTCGAGTAAACCCAGTGCCGCTTGGGAAGGACGACATACTACTATCATACATACATACTTGCAGAATTCGGGGTAGACGCTGAAGACATTTCTTCAATATGTTCAAATTCTTCGTGCGCTATTAATTCGGCTATTTTTAGTTTTTTTCGGGCTTGACGCTTTAAGGGAAGTGTTTTCACAGTCTATGCATGTGCCAAGAAAAGTGAATCAATGGCCTCGTTCTCTTTTTTAGGTTTTTTACCTTGAAAATAATTAATGAGCTGTTGTACAGACGGAGATGGTGGTTCATAGCGTTTTCTGCTCGTTTTATATTTTGGTGTAGTTGCAGTCTGCGGAAAGGTGTGCCCTGGAGTAGTCACTGCTGTAGTGTTCAATGAAGAAGGTGGTGCTGTCTGTGTTGCCGAGGCGTTCTGTGCATCTTCTGCATCTACATCAGCATTTTCATCTTCTCCATGGCCGCGGTCTTCCAAATTTTCGGTTTCTACCTTTCCAGCCCTTTCCTGATATATATTTGAGTTAAATTCGGCAGTCTCAAATGTATGACGTCAGTTTGGTAGATTTTATATATTTTGCAAATGTGTCTCTGATATTCTTCCACCTTTTTTTTACTTCATCACCTAAAAAACGATTTTTTTTATAGATTCCTTGCCACTGGTGACACCTTCTATACCATTGGGCATAGCTTTCGAGTTGGCTTTACAACAGTGAGTGCAATCGTAACCGAAGTCTGTGAAGCGATATGCAGACATATGGAGCATATATATTTACCAGAACCAACAGAGAATATATGGAAAAAATGTGCTGAAGAATTTGAAAATAGATGGGGATTTCCCAATTGCATTGGCAGCGTGGACGGTAAACATGTAACAATCAAGAGACCTAACAACAGTGGCTCCAATTACTGGTGCTATTTACATAAATATTCAATAGTACTTATGGCCATTGTTGGCCCGGACTATAAATTTATATGTGTTGATATTAGTGGTTTCGGAAAAAATAGTGATGGGGGTATTTTCGAAACCTCAAACATGGGAAAACGATTTGAACAAAATTTAATGAGTGTCCCTGCACCTAGATTTCTCCCTGGGCAAAATGAAATCTGCTCGTACGTTTTAATTGGTGATGAAGCATTTGCTTTAAAACCATACCTTATGAGACCATTTCCTTATAAGCAGACTTTAACTAGACGTCAGAAAAGAGAAATACAATGTAAGACTTTGTCGAGCTAGAAGGGTCGTGGAAAATGCGTTTGGTATTTTGTCTCAAAAATGGCGAATATTTTACAGGCCATTAGAAACTAAAGTAGATACTACTATTCTAATTGTACGTACGGCGTGTGTTTTACACAATTTTTTACGAAGTAAAAGTGGCGATGACAAATATTTTCAATTCTTAGATCCCCCAGAACCCGTGCTTGGAGCTTTTACTGATATAGCAAATGATCCTCGGCGGGCAGCAAGGCTAGCATTTTCTACTCGTGACAAATTCGTAAATTATTTTAATTCTGATATGCCTATGCCCAATATATAGAATGTTCGTTTTCACATTTGTGTAGACTGTAAAGCATTTAACAAGTTAATAAAAATATTAGGTACATACCATTTGTATTTAATTCTTTTCCTATTTCCATCCAAATCTTGTCTTCTTTCTCACATTCCTGTATTCATCGTTCGACAAATCATACAAACAAGGATACTTTTTCACTATTTCTATCAATAATTCCGTTTTTGCCATTGCGAATTTTTGAAGACGGCGTCAAAAACGCGGTCAAAGGCGAACTGAAATACGCCGCGATAAAAACGCTGGAACAATCGCATTCGCTTCGTACAAGTCTGAGCCTCTCCGTAAACCGCCGCGTTTAATCTGATCGCGAATTCATCGCGCGAAATTTTCGCAGCCAAAGCGAATATTTCGCGCCGGTTTGTGGATGCTTTAATCTTTGTTAATAAGTTGTAAGCAAGCAGTCGTCGTGCTGCTTTGATTCAGCCACTCGGTACAGGTAAACGTAATCATTGTCCCTTTGACCGATCATTCTCGTTAACACGTGCATATATTATTGCAACTCATAAAATTTATTGATACACATGAATCGATATCTATCAAAACACAATTTATGACAAGTATAGTTACGTTTTAAGAATGGGCTAATGAACTTAGGTCATTAAATCCCATAATAACTAAACCGATACTAGGTAACAGAAAAATTCCATTTTGCAAGCTTCATTGACAAGATAGTACTTGAAGATAGTTGTCTCACATTTTGCGTGATTACTACATCATAGCATATCGCATATGTAATATGCTTACTCAGAGGTGATAACAAGGAGCTGGGATCCACGCAATATCCTAAATAAGCGTGAAAGAAATCGAGTATGTCGTTCATCGGCTGGTACCTAACGAAGTCTCTCAAGTATTTTTTCAACATATTGCCGCTGGCTCTATTCAGTTTGGAGAAAATGTTTTGACACTGCGTCCGTAGAAACTCTGCTGCTGGGCCTCTCTGGCCATCCATACATCCATGTGGACATCCGAGATGCTTCAAACTCTGAAATTAGTAATGGAACTACAAAAAATATCCCACATCGTAGAGAAGCACTACCGGAAAAAAAGTACGCAATATTCTACCAGCGGTTTCTAGAGTTTAAAATAGGACTTCAATTGACCAATGACGTACCTAACAATAATATTCATCATCATCCTATGTGGAGAAACTTTCTTTTCAGTCTTCTCGGCGTCACTGCTATACGGAGTATCTGCAGTTGAACCTGGAGATACCTTGGTAACCCCGGAGAATTTCGCTTCCTTTTGGAAACTGGAAATATTCGCATATGACCTCATCCCTTAAGCACTGCTTCAGGACACCCATGTCCAAGAGCAGCTCCGCAAGGTTCAAGATGACTTCTAGCACTCGAAGAGTACATGAAGTTGTTTTCTCTGACTGCAGTTTCTGTGCACTGCCTGTCGCCAATATGTTCAAGTTAATACTTCTTTGAAGCAAAATAGCAAAACATAGGTCGGAACAGTATTTCCAGTACAAAACTGTGAAAATATTTGTCAGATTTCAAGGGAAGTCATACTTATAGGGAATTGAATGATTGGTACAATTTTCGATTGGACACACAAATAATTTTAAAGTGATGAACCCAGGAAGGAGGTGGCAACTTTATCCCAGCTAATTCACCGAAATTTGGTTGCTTGTGAACATAGTGAATAACGAGTGAAGAAATCCTAGCTAGAGATAGAAGAACGGACCAGGATGGCGTCAGTTTGTAGAAGCCCTATGTTCCTAAGTGGAATTTAATATATCAAAGAAAAATATGCTTAACACAAAAGAAACAAAAAATAACAGTGGACAACAAATTTTAGTTTTTAATTGTATCTTGTGGGAAAAGTGCACTTCTTTGTTAATTTTGGGGCGCTGAATCCAAAAATGACAATGAAATAAAAAAATTAGTTGCGGTTATAAAAAAACTTTTTATTTTTAAGGATACATTAAAAAAAAGTAACAGATTCATATACTTATAAGAATCACTATATGCGCTGTCTTTTGCTGTTATTTTATGGATCGTTTCTGGAGCATCTCTACCAAGAGTCCAACAGTAGTCTGCAAGCATGGAAGGATTCCACTTTCCCTGGTACCTTTTTTCCATTGTTGAAATATCCTGATGAAAACGTTCGCCATGCTCATCACTTACGGCTCCGCAATTTTCAGGAAAAAAGTCCAGGTGTGAGTGTAGGAAATGTATCTTAAGAGACATATTACAGCCCATCTTTTGATACGATGACAGCATATTTTTGACAAGGGTTTTATAGTTGTCAGCTTTTCTATTTCACAAGAAATTAGTGACCACCAGACGGAAATCATTCCAAGCAGTTTTTTCAATACCTGTTAAAGTGTTTTCAAACTGTTTATCTTTCAAAATATTTCGAATCTGTGGCCCAACAAAAATACCTTCTTTAACCTTGCCTCACTTAGTTTGGAAATTTCTGACGCAGGTATTGAAAAGCTGACCCATCTCTATCTAATGCCTTGACAAAGTTTTTCATTAGGCCCAACTTGATATGCAGTGGTGGTAATAAATATTTTTCCGAATCTACTAATGGCATATGCTGTACATTTTTTTGACCTGGCTCTAGGAATTGACGAACAGGCCAGTTTTGTCTGGTGTACTGAAGTGCATTTGCCCGACTGTCCCCTTCACACAAAAAAAGCAAAAACTTGTGTAGCATAGATGCCAAAGCCAAGTAAAAGTGCAACCAACTTTAAAATCGCCTCAAAATTATACCATTGGTGCTCATCGTATTTTATTGCATGTCAATAGGTACTTCATATTGTCATATGATTCTTTCATGTGAACTGCATACCCTACAGGAAGAGATGGTAAAATATTTCCAATATGCAATAACACTGCCTTTAAACTCAATGTTGAACTGTCTATAAACAATCTCATTCTTCTGGGTTATAGTTTATATTTAAAGCCGCCAGTAAGCCGTTAATGTTACTGCAGAAAACCAAGTTATTCTCCATATTGAAAAATGGTTCTAAGTCTTTGTGGCGTTTACGAAAAACACATACCGAAACATCGTCTTCTAACAAGTTCCACTGCTGCAGTCTTGATCCAAGTAACTCTGCCTTACATTTTGGAAGTTCTAAATCTCTTACAAGATCATTTAATTCTGACTGTGTTATTTTGTGCGGTTGGTGGCATGACGTGCTCGGTATAAAATCAGGATCTCTTGACGTTGATGGCATATCTTCTTCCTGACGAATCACTCGATCGCCATGATCTGATTCGTTTTCTGATTCGCAAGTGTAGGATTCTGGGGGTTTTGGAATAGGATTTTCGTCACTGTGAGGCACAGGTCTCATCGCAGATGGTATGTTTGGGTAGTTAATAACCGATTTTTTTTTCTTGGACATACCTGTGGCTTGTCCAACACAAGGTACCATGCAAAAGTAACAATCATTAATATGATTTGTAGGCTCTCTCAAACCATTGGGACAGCAAAGCGCATAACCGTTTTTTGCATTTAACCAGCTCCTCAGACTTGAAGCACATGTATTACAGCAGATGTGGGGTGCCCACTGTTTGTCTTGATCACCTAGTTTACAACCGAAATAAAGCTGATATGCCTTTGTTATTAGTGGAGTAATAGACCGTCTCTGAGACGCAAAAGTCACATCACCACACACGTAACAAAAAACATCTGGATTGTTTAC